TCCTTCCTTCCTTCCTTCCTTCCTCCCTCCCTCCCTCCCTCCCTCCCTTCTTTCTCCCCTTCCTTTTCCTCTCCCTTTCTTCCTCCTTCCTCCTTCCTTCTTCCTCCTTCCTCCTTCCTTCCTTGTAGGAGGAGACCCATATTAGTCTATGGTACCAGAAAATCCAAAATAATTTTCTGCCTTTTAAGAAAATGTGTTATTTGGAAAAGGTGCTATCAGACTCCTCCAGATTTTTTATATCTATTTTATAGCCTACTTTTTTCTCCTCCTGGAGCTCAGTATAAATTATATGGAGGCACTCTACCCCCTATGTAACTTATGCTGTTGACAGGATTAATATGAATAATTTCTGGCACTGAGCAGGGCACTGGCTATATGGCCTCTTAGGGTCCTTCCAACTTGGGCATTCTATGATTTTAATAGGTGCAGATCTTCCAGCATTCTTCCTTCTTTTCTAAGTGGCAGAACACCAGATCGGAACTCCCCAGCCCTTGTCCTTGATGGAACAGAAACAGGATTTCATTTTAAAAGCACTTACATCTTTGAAAAGAAGGAGACCTACAGGAAATCAGCACTGAGAGATTAACAAAGAAATGGAACTTTAAAAAAATATTTGTCCTAAGCTGTTTATTTGGAAAGGGAGGTTCCAAAATATCCTGCTCTGTGCCATCTTTCCCTGCACTAACAAAAGATTTTTATCATGTTTTATTCTGCTGTAAATCAGTGGGTTTGGAAACTCTGGAGCTTTTTAAACAGGAAGATGGATTATAAATCCTTTAAAGAACTGAATGTGCAGTTCTCTGTTGTATTGTCCACTCCAGCACCTCATGCTGTCTCAGTTCCCTACTACAATTCCCATGTTCTTCCAATGCCAAGGCTCTTGGGTACAAGCTTCAAATCACTTAAATAACCCTGCAGTCCCTGCTTGAACGCGAGAGGCCTTTTGGGGCCACCCAGTTCTCACTTCTGCTTCTTGGGTTGCTTGAAGCAGCCATTTGGGTGCAAACTGGATGAAGGTAGCATGGAAGAGGTTGGCTTTTCTGAGACACATCTTCAAGAAGAGGCCATAATCAGCTAAAAGTTCGGGATAGGGAGATCCTACAATGCCACCCCACCCCAATGAGCAAAGCAGCTTCTCTGGTCTTTCAAAGAAGGTTCATTTCTACAAACTTTGCCTTGGGTATCCCAGGTAGTGTAATGGTGAAGATGCTGCTGGACTAGGAGTGGAGAGATCCAGGTTCCGGTCCCTGCTCAGCCACAGAAACTCCCAGGGGGACTTTGGGCCAGTCCTTCTCTCTCCCTGTGGTTGGGGGGAGAAGGGAATAATGGGAGGAGGAAGTGGCAGGTATCCCAGTTTGAGCTCCCAAATGAAAGGTGGGCTATAAAAATAAATAAATAATAAAATGAAAAAGTAATTTAAGAACATGTGGGCTGGTTTTAATAAAATTAGTAATGACAATTCATATGTAAGAATGCATCCATCATATATTGGGGAGTAAGCAGAATTATGCTTAATTTAATCTTATTAAAAAAAAAATCTTCCTTGCATTTTTCCCACGGGTGCAGGGTCCGCTTTTTCTGGCTCAACCGAAAGTTGATCCATTGGTTGTGACAGGAATCGACCAACCGGCTTGTCACCCGAGCCTGATGTCGTGGGCTGAGATAGAGAGGGACTGGTCACCTTTCATGCCCAAGGTGGGACTAGAATTCACCATCTCCTGCTTTCTAGCCTGGAGCCTTCACCACTAGACCAAACTGGCTCTCCTTATTAAATTACGATTCTTGTTCTTATACTATAACAACAATTCATTTTATTTATTCATTTTATGTCTGCCCAGTCCAACATCATGACTCTTGGGTGGCTAACAACAGCTAAAAACACAACTTCACAACAATACAATAAATACACCTTTGGCAGATGAGATATAAGGTCCACAAATGTAGAGCTTCCACCTGATTCCAGATATTACATTAACTTTGGAACCAGTATAGGGGAATAGTATGATTTGCAATTTTAAAATGAGCACTGATACCTCTAGAGTCCCACTGCAGCAAGGGAGAATGTAAAGATCACAACTAAAGATGGACATAACATTACATCCTTCATCCCTTCTTTCTTTGCCTACCCAAATTTAATGTTCAGATTAATATGATAATTATGCAACACCTTGAAGAACAAATCTGGACTGTTCCCTGTTCTTAAATCTGTGATGCAACAGATGATACCATTAAAAACACAAGAGTGTTCAATGCCTGGAGTGTATCTGTACATCTTGAATAAGCCATATGGCAAACTATATTTACTCCTTATCTAAAAAAAAAAAAAGGCATGGTGTTTGTTTGTTTGTTTATTTATTTATTTATTTTGGAATTCTTTTTCTGCTGCCCCCCCCCAAGTTTTTTTTTTTAAATACTTTGCACACAAAGGACTCAAGAAATTAACCTTCCAAGATGTCTGACATACGAACCGTTGGCATTAATTCGGAAAATGCTGGCAGATGTACTCTGAAAAAGTTCCTGAAGTTCATTGGGATCGATCTGGGTGGCTAGAAAGGAGCAGAAAAAGAGAAGAATGTTATTAGATCAGACGATAGACTGCACACCAGCTCCAGTATAAACATCAGAGATGTCTGTAAGTTCCTGGTGCTCAGAGCAACGAGACACCCATTTAGGCATTTCTTTACTATTACTGAGATCACTGCTAAATCATATGAAACTTCTTATTGTCCAAATATAAGACAACCGAAAAGGGGTAACAATCAAGAAGCAATACCTATGGATGAAATCACCCACAGGTCTGTGACTTGGGAATCTTCTGAGACTTGTCGTCCTGCTAAAACAGCAAGTGGAAATCATGGTCGGGTGAACCGGTGGGCACTTTGCCCAGTTTAAGCTGGTGCACCACTTGTGGCATTTCTTGGACTGAGCAGCCCTGGTGACAGTGATTCACACACCCTCAGTGCCATGAGTCTTGACCTCTGAGACATCCTCCTCATGGGGTTGCCTTTAAAGACAACCCTTGAAACCATGATTGGGACAAAACGCAGCAGCCACAGTTCTAAGGGTGGGACCTATTACTATCACATAAAACCAATTCTTTGCTTGCTGGATGGGACATCAACAGTTTCCAACCCAAGGCGAAATGCTGGTTTTGACCTCCAGAATAACCAATGGACTGGGTCCTCCAAATGGAGTCTATCCATCCCATGAAAATATTTAGAGGCAACCTTTTTCCATGAGGTCCTACATCATGGAACCCAGTGTCTTCCCCATGGAGGTGCCCTGGCATCTGCCTTGCTGTTCTTTTATGGAATGGTGGACCATTTTGCTTAACAGACACTTGACTCATGATGTTTCAGGTTATTACGAGAAATTATAGATTTGTTCTGTTTTATGTGGGGTTTGCTCTGTTTGGTGATCAGTCTTGATGTTATTGTCACTGTGCACTGTGTGGCTGTCATATTCTTAACCTTTATTGTAAACCAGCTGGGGTCCTGATATAGAAAGATGTGTAATAAATAAATGGAAACCAGCAATAATAATACACAACTAAGCTTGGTATTTTCTAGCTCCATCAACGGATGGCTGTGGGCTACAAAGCAGATGGCTGTGGGCTACAAAGAAGGTCTTCAGGGTTTTATATTTATTAATCTATTTTGTCTGCTTGATATGCATCTCCACCCAAGATGGCTACAGGCGCTCCCTCCTCCAACTTTCCCCACAGCAACAACCTTGTGAGGGACTAAGAGAGAGTTCTTAGCCCAAAGTCATCTTCCATGGTTGAAGGTGAACTTGAACCTGGGTCTCCCCAATCCTAGCCCAACACTTTAACTGCTAGGCCACCCAGGGCCCCTCCAGGTTGGGGCCTAGGCTATGCAACTCTGTAGCCGGAGAGATTTACATGAACCACCCTTGGTCACTCTGAAATGCCCAATGAAAACAATGGGTTGCATTGACATGTTGCTATACTGCAAAGTGGATTCATGTAAGTGGTGCTATGTTCAATTCCCATTGATTTCAAGGGTTTAAAGGTAGGCCTGCTCTTACCCCTTTCCCTCCTTTCCTGCTGGAACTGCAGGATGTGCCTGTCCCACCATTTCCACCCTAGAACTGCAACCCAAAGTGATTTCCCCAACTCAGAGCTTTTTTTTTTTAAATCCTCTAGTCCAATTTGAGTGGGTGACCCCTGAATGGTGCATTTCTCCTGCTTGAAGTGGTTGGCTTAAGTTTCAAGTACTGCACACGTTTATGGGCAGTGACATAACCATGGATTCATTTGGACTACTTTTAAAGAATTGTTTTCTTGCATAATGAGTGACGTCCTGGAACATATTCTTCAGTAGAGCTCTGTGAAGTGTTGGGAGTTGTCCCACGGCCAGGAGTGTTCAGGCAAATGTATATCTTGACAACTTTTTCTTCTCTAAATCTTTAAATCTCTAAATCTCTGAATCTTCCAATCAACGTGACTGGAAGGTCCCCAGTGCTAAGATTTGGAGGGAGGGAGAAAAAACTCTCCATGTCCTTTTTCTCCACAGGATGAAAAACCGGGTTCATCTCTCCCATAGCTAAAGAACAGATCTATTCACTTATGGTGAAATCAGGTTTGCAAACTCTGGTGCTCTAATTCTGCTGTCTCTCATCCTGCCCCAAATTTCAAATTTAACTATTCTAAGGTAGAAAATGAACAGGTGGGAGGCAGCGGGGAGCTTGGGATTTAGGCTGGTAAATAGCTGGAAGCTCATAAACTCTCTTCATGTTTTTCCCAAGTCTCTCTTCATCCAAGGAAGCAACCAGAGCAAACAGTCAAGTTACACCTGAAAAGAAGCATTTTATGGAGAAATTGTCCTTGCCACGTGTAGCAAAATTTGATGGCACCCACCAAGGTTGTAAATAGGAAGGGGACACAAAACACAGGATCTAATAAAAATTAAGTGAGTTAGACTTCATAAAGTGCAGGGCGAAAATACTACATTCTCCTGTACGTGTGTGTAAGAGTGTGGAAATATGACTCTGCTGCCATTTAGAAAATATTCTCTGTATTTTTTTCTTTAACTTTCTTACCTCTCTGGCTTCTCGGTCTGATCAACCAATAACTCTAGTGTTTCTAGTATCTTTGCTTATATTATGTTCAGCCCAGCATCTTCCTTACACCCAATTTTATTATGTGAAATTGGTTTATATAGAATCCAGCCCAACACAACAGTAGTGACCCCCAATGTCCATCCAACCTAAGTAAATCTCATGTTCTCCTTGGACTTGTGATTTTGTCAGCATCTGCTTTGATAGATGTGTCAGCTCACTTGGCCAGTGTGATTTGCATGTTAATTACATGTGTGTCATTGTGTGTATGCGATTGCTTGCAATCATAGCTCATAGCTCCACACAACATTGAATGTTTGTCTACTGAGAAGGAAGCCCTCCCACACAGCCAGAGCTTCATAGACCCAAAGCTAGCTGAATTGTGCCAACTTTTCCTCCCAACCAAGTGTTCCATCTCATAACCTACTTTTTCAACTGTCTTTGTTCTTTAGGACCTGGGGAAGACTTTTCAAGATCTTTCTACTTGACTAGAACACTCGACCCATTCCAGACTGATTTTGTGCAGGAGTTTGTAGGAAGTAATGTAACCAGTGAGCTGGCATGGAGAGGACCAGAGGAAGAGACCAAATAGGGCTGGTGTTTTGTTCTACCAAAACTCTCTTGCATGTGTTTTATGCCCATCTACCATCTGAATTGAGCATGAAACTGAGCAAACTGAGCAAACTCAGGGAGGCAGTGAAGGACAGGAAGGCCTGGTGCAATATGGTTCATGGGGTCACGAAGAGTCAGACACGACTTAACGACTAAACAACAACAACAACCATCTGAATCTTAACCAGTTAGGAGCTGGATGAAGCACACCCAGGTGGGTCCATATAAGAAAGGCCTGGTGCAATATGGTTCATGGGGTCACGAAGAGTCGGACACGACTTAACGACTAAACAACAACAACAACAACCATCTGAATCTTAACCAGTTAGGAGCTGGATGAAGCACACCCAGGTGGGTCCATATAAGATAAACTTTAGGTTGAGAAACAGTAAATCCACCCTATAAGACTTCCAGCACTGAACTACTTCTCATCTGCAACCAAGAGATCCCAAAGGACATTTAGGCAAGAAGGCAGGTCTGTTCACTGATAATGGAGAAGCTTGCTGTTGGCAGTTTAAATAATGGACCCCTGAAGCTTTATTAGTTGGAAACCATGTCTCAGGAGTGCTCAACTTAACCAACAGGCATCTGGACTTACAACGTGCCATTTCCTGAAGGGAGCCAGAATTGATCAGAGCCTCCTATATTTAGATGGAGTCAGAAACTGATATTTAAAGAGTGACCTTGACTTGGTGAAGTCATGGAACAATCCTGGCCTTGTTTCACATGTTTTAGAACCTCCAGCTGCAAAAGCATTCCTGAAAACTGACTCAGCTCACCTTCTACTTCACCAAGCTCAGGGTTTCTGAAGACAAGGGCTGGAGGATTGCTATTCCTGCACCAATCTGGCCAATGGTATTCAGCCTTCTCCTATTAGGTTTGGGAATCAATGTATCACCAAGGTAAGAAAAGCCTGTCTGTTGTTGATTCCTGTGTTGGACAGAAGGTTGGCTCTCTAAAGTCCCTTCCAACCCTGACATGCTGTGATTTCTTTTCCTCACCTAATGGCCAGCTACTAGGAATGGCCACAAAAAAATCCAGATATTACGTACGTGCCTGGCTGAGGACAGAACAAGTCACCTGCTTGCCACACATTCTGGATTGGCAAATATTGTGAACCCTTGCTGAACCCAATGTTAAAGCTTCACTCAATCCATAGTCCACTCATGGGTCATTGGTGTCCAGTAGAAGCCCTGATGACATCATCCATATCAAATATCACCACACAAAGGACACATATGACACTATTGGCTCCTCTTCCCAGACATCCTCCCCTAATATACATTGGCAATGACTGATCTGGTTATGGTCCAGGTGTTAGACTGGCATTGGGAAGTCTGGATTAATGTCCTCTTTCAGCCACAGAAGCTCAAGGGGCCAGTCCCCATCAGCATATTAAGGGGGCCCAGACTAGGAAACCAAAATCATGAATACTTATACAACTTTCATTATAAGGTTACAGCAACAAAATCTTGAAAGTCTGAATGTGCCTCCCCCTCTCTTCCTTTATCTTCAAGAGAAATAGGGAGGGTCATGTCTGAGACCGTTTCTCAAATTACATTTCTACCCCTGAATCAGCTTTCTTTTATCTGACTGTTATCTTGGTTATGGCTCTTCTTCCTGTTCCTCAAGGTTATTCCTTCTTCCCATTACAGTTCCTCCCTCTCAGCCCAAGAGCCATAATGGTCCAGTGGAGAAGGTGCTGGACTGGAAGTGAGGAGATCCATGGTCTGGTTCCCCCTCAGCCACAGAAGCTCCTGGGGGGGACTCTAGGCCAGGCCCTTCATTTCAGCTTCAGAGCCAGCGTGGTCCGGGGGCGAAGGTGCTGGAGTACGAGTGGGGAGACCCAGGTTTC